CACCTGCTAGGATGCCGTTCTCTGTCCACATTGGTTGTGAGGCTTCCCCTTCCGCTTCAAGGATCCTTGTGCCCAAGTAGATCTGCGTAGCAAAGGCTTCGTGTGTTCCTGGGTAATTTGACATGAGCCACCTCTCCGCCAGCTTTGCAAGTTGATGCGGTCATAGAAGTTGGACATGTCAATTTGCGCGGAGATGACCGTCTTCTTCAATGCATGGCTGTGCTCAGTGACGAATGCTCTTCTCAATGCAGCCTGCAGGCATTCTGTTCCTGGAACTGCTCGTTCCCATGGAAATTCTTCTTCAAACTGTCCCTGCCATTCCTGGGTGTAGTTGTTTCTGAGCCTGCGCCACAATCTGTACATGGTGGCAACCAGGGATATGGGACGTTCGATTTCGGCAGTCTTGGGCAGCATTGTAATCAAAGCCACCTGCCACTGATTTGGAACCAGAGCTTCTGCCTCTATCTGGTGGTGCATCTGTACCAAGTCCTTCATTGCAGCGAATGGAAGAGCTTTGAGAAAATCGAAGCCAACGCCATCCAGACCTGGGGCCTTGTTGGAAAGCTGCTTGATGTTGTCCCACACTTGTTTCTCGGTGAGTGGTTTCATTGTGGAAGCATGCTCTTTTGCCTTCTCAATCATGGCTGCTATAGACGTCACCTTGTGCTCACTTCCTCGAATACCCCATATTCACGTCGCTTCGCGACGGTAACCGCCCGCACCGCATGGAAGGGGCCAATATTTCCACCGAACATAGCCCCGGAAGTGCCCCCCCCCTCCCCAACGTGGCCGAGCATAGATTCCATGTTTCGAGATAGGGATTTAACATGGCCCAACGTGTCCGGCAATATGAAAGCTATGTTTGGCCACGTTAGGGGGTGTTTTTTATTCCAGTTTACGACGTTCAAGTCCCTATCTCGCAGACACTACCTTTAGATAGTGACTTCTAGGGCTATGTTAGGCTATCTTCACTCTATTCCAGTCCCTTTTGAGCCTTCGTTGGGCCATGT